GATATTAGAATATCCATCTCCAGTCTGATGGCTGATACATCTTTGTATTTTTTTTTAATATCAACTTTAAAGGAAGGAACACATTTGTCAACTTTGCCTGGCCCGCAAGAAGTATTAAGGCATTGCTCCCATTATGTTTAAAGCAACCAAGTTCACTATGGGGTTGTGGAGGGAGTTCCTTCGGTACAATGCTTGCTGCGCAAGGTTCAGCCCACAGAACTCACAGCACTAGGGAGGTTAAGATAGGGGCACTGGGGCTCCCTGGCCAGCCAATTTATCCTAATTGACTTGAGAAGCTCCAGAGCAATGATAGGCCCCTACCTAGAAGAACAAGATGGATAGTAGCTGAGGAATAGCACCCAAGATTTGACTCTGGCCTCCGCAGATGCTTTCGCAGAACACCCACACTTAAGAATGCACACAATCAAATAAGTAGAAGACATGAACCATCTTTCCTCGCATAGAGCAAAAGCCCATCTTTAAACCCTTCTGTGACTTGGATTTTCATAAGAAGGTTGAGAACACATACATTTTAAGCATGGGCTTTCAATATCAAAAACGGTAACAAAACTTATAGAAGAAATTTGTAGATTTTAACAGAAGTCAAAAAGCAGAAGTTTAAAAAAAAAAGCCAGCTATCTACCCAAGATTACATTGGATGTCCCCGGCAGGAGCTACTCTCCCCACTTTAGAGGGCAGTTGGTAGGTTCCATCCTTGTCAGTGGCTTTCCAGCTTAAGAAGCTGTGAATTTTATAACCATGCACCCTGCGGTCAAAGCTGCTGAGTGCTGTGTCTGCAGGCAGGTGGTTTGTGTGTTAAAGGTAGACATTAAACAGTTCTATTAAGGACCTGGAAGTATTTAAGGGGGTCGCTTGCCAGCTGTAAATTAGAGACCCAATCCCCGTTGGCTGGAAAGTTCCCTGGACTAAGTCCAGTTAAGTAGACCGAATCACTGGCGGTCTTTCCAAATTTGCACATTTAACAGCTTGGCTGTTGAGCCTGCCGCGCCATGCTGGGCAGTTCAGGAGTGGCATCGCCATGACACAGCACCTGTGGGATTGGCAGGGTGTCCTTGTCACCCACCCCCGCTCCATGCTGATGAAATCAACCTACTGCTAGCACAGAGTCACGGAGCAGGTTTTTAAATAGCTGTGAATGACAGATATCATTTTCAGTTACCGGTTGTCTGAAGCTATTGTCTGAGGCTCCGCCCCAGCATTCGGAAGACAGTGGGCCTATGTAGTTCTCTCCAAGATTCCCGGACTTCACAGTAACTCTCTGCAGCTTGGAGGATTATAGTGGTCACACTGAGGTACTGGGTGCCCTTGACAAGGTTACCTAAAGGGGGCTGTGGTCTCCTTCCATGAAGATAGATGTGGTGAGTCAAAGGATCAGTATGAAATTTAAAGTTTTAAAATTGATTCTCTAAATCAAGGGACCTCGGATTTTCCTTTTGCGCTGTGACCACAGATTCTGTAATGTGGAATTGATTTCTTCCCCAAACTCAGGTTTTTGAAAGTAGGGACAACCTCCAGAGGTGACCCTAGTCAAAATGGACAGTCATTTTTGGAGGACAGTTTGAAGCACAGGGGCCATTCCTTCCATGTTCCCTCCTCAGCCCTCTCCTCCTCCGCACAGGATACAGAACAGGGCAGAGAGTGCTTTCCTGTTGAGAAGCAAAAACCACACAGCCTTGCAGCCACTGTGTGCAAGCCACTTGCGTGTCTTTTATGTGCTGTGCCCTGCTGCCTACAGAGGTCGGTCCTCCTTTCAAAAGGCTTTTAAGGGCTTATGTTAAAGTCTTCCGCCAGCCCTCTCCTGGTTTATGTGTTTGCTTCTAACATACATGACTGCTCATATAACTGCATGTGGATTTACGGTCATGCAGACAGCAAGGCTAAGCCTTGAGTCTTTAAAGTTGGGGTGCTTTTAATTCACTTAAAGCCTGTGTAAAACACATTCACATGTTCCGCAAATAAGTATGAAGAATGTGTCTTCTGTGTTAGTGTCTGTAAAACTAATAGAACATGCACAGGGAATCTGGGAGTTTTGACTTGCTGCTTTAGAGGTGCACGTTTCCTGTGAAAATTTTCAATGCATTATAATGCATCACACCTTTTTCATCTTTCTTTTTTTTCCTTTTCCACTTGTCTGGGTAGTGTGGGGTATATTCATTTCCTATAGCTTTTAAATATTCTATTCAGTGCTCTTGCTTTTAGCACAACTATTTCACTTTTCTGTCTTTTCATATTTCCTCTTCAGTGTTGAGGAAAGGGAGGTGGGGAATATCTTATTTGTCTCTTCACGACAATTAGGAAGCCTCAAGGAAGTTCAAGTTCTCTTTTGTTCATTTTGACACATGGCTCGGGTCCTCACGAAGATGCTTTGTTAATTAAGTCTGGGCATAGTGGTACCCATCTAGGTCTCGGCATTCAAATGGCAGAGGCAGGAGGATTACAGTTTCAGGTCAGAGTGTGCCCCTCCAAAACTGCATCATCATTTCTGTCGCATAGAGACAGTGGCAACCAAGAGTGTAAAGATTTGTCATACTGCTTTCTCAGAAGGAGCAAGAGAGATGAAACACCAATAAACAGAAAGCCACCTGTGTCCTGGTTTCATTCATGTTGCTGTGATAGGTACCCTAAGAACAAACAACTTAGGGGGAGGGAGTTTATTTTGGATTGTAGTTCAAGATTACACTCCATCCTTGATGGAAAATCAAGACAGGAACCTGAAGCACCTAGTCAGGTCCACAGTCAAGAGTAGAAAATAAACACGCTTAGTGTTCAGCTAGCGTTTTCTAGAAACTCAAGGACTCAAATCCAGTGAATGGTGCTCCCCACTTTTAAGCTGGGTCTTCCCATATCAATTAAGGCTCTCAAGACAACCCCCTCAAACATATTCCGAGAGGTGGGGGGAGAGGAGAAAGAGAGAGAGAGATGCACACTGGCTAACCTGGTCTAGACAGTCCCTCACTGAGACTCTCCTCCTGGCTGACTCTGGGTTGTGGCGAGCAGACAAAATGAAATCATCACAGTTTCTGAATATAGATCTGCTCTTCCGATTCCAGTTTGACTGTGAGTTGCCTGTATTTACTCAATCAGCACTAGCAAATTAGCAGAAGCAGTAGAAAGGCGAAGCAAAGAGAGCAGAACATTTTTATTGGCAACTGGTGAGAATCCAGTGTTTGCTCACGCTAAGGTTTCTCCCTATTGTGTTGTGTGTTAGTTTCATTCCCAGCAAAGTTGGAGGTCACATAGACCCATCTGTTAACATGACTGTCTCGAAGACTTGGAATTTGCTTGGTTATACCACTAAGTGATCTTCAGGTCATGATCCCTTCGGTGACAGACACAATACTTCTGGAGGCATTTAAGTTAATAGCAACACGAAACCCATGTGTAGCATCCTAAAGAGCAGTGTGGTACAGTGCCACCCAGCCAGCATTAATTGGGATTGGATGCCAACAGACAGAGAAGCGGGGGTTCCTATTTTTAACTGGCTATAGGCTTTGCCTCTGGAGCATGCATGCCCAGTTCTGGTGGTGAAGAATTTTCCACAAGACTCATGGGGTAGGAGAAAACCAGTTATTTATATTCATGAATTGAGCTTGAGACAGAAAAAAAAGGGGGGGGGGAATGGTTTGAAAGAGAGGACACCCAGAGTGTTTGCCCACATCAAAAAGAAGGCTATGGCAGGCATTAGAAAAGCACACTGTTTTGCAGATTTATTTAAATTCGCTACCTACTCATTCTAAGTGATCTTGTACACACTCGTTTTTTAGGAACAGATAAGAGCCTTGTAGAGTGAACTGAAGGAGTGTTTTGAGATAATGTGTGGGCAAAGGTTGACAGAGCGTATGACAACTAAAGGAGGCTCATGGTCCCACTGCTCATCGGGACTCACACTCTATGGGGTCAGATTTGTCCTGAGTCCTAGCCTTTTTTAGACTGTATCCCTTAGGCTACATATATTGCCTCAATTAGAATTTATTTTAGTTTTGTGTGTATGTGTGTGTGTGTGTGCATGCGTGCACATGCACACACGCACGCACACACATGGGTGAGTACAGGTACTTACAGAGGCTGGAAGAATGTGTTGATTCCCCTGAAGCTGTAGGGACAGCAGTTGCGAGCTGTCCAACAGGGATGCTGGGGACTGAATCAAAGTCTTCGTCAAAGGTGGCATTTGTTTTTAACTGTTGAGCCATCTCTCCAGTCCTGTATCAATCTTTAAACATAATATGTAGACGCTTTCAATTTGTAAAGTACCTTTGAGTATTCTATTGGAATCCCATTTGGACTATGCAGTAAGTGACAGGGAATGCTGACTAGGGTCTGCTGTGATTGGTGGGTGTGCTTATCCCGTGCTGAGCTTCTGTCATGAAGATTTGTAAGTCCACATATGATCAATAGAGAGAGACATAACAGTGAGTGTATTATCTATGGAGCACTAGTGTGTGTGGCTTATCCTGTGTCTTGTTTAAGGTTGAGACCCAATGATATGACCTTTCGTGTGTGTGTGTGTGTGTGTGTGTGTGCTCTCACGTGGGCATAGGTGGTGGAGGCCCAAGAATAACTTTGTGGATTCTGTTCTCTCCTTCTACCATCATGCGTCTGCTGGGGATTGCATTTAGATCATTCATTAGACTTGCACAGCAAGTGCCTATACCCATTGAGTCACCTTGCTGGTCCACTTGTATTTCATTTTAATGGCTCCTTTGCTTTATTGATGGTGGTATCTTGAGTTTTACATGATTATAGAAAACATCAAATTGGGTTTTCTAGCATCTGTCTACTCCATTTGATCCTAGCATGGCGAATGCTTTAAAGTGTCATAGGGAGCCTTTTTATGTCAACATTTGTCATGCTCGGGAACAAGAAATGACCTGACTTTAAAACCAAAATGACTTGCAAATATCTCTAAAATGTTCAACAAGATCTCTGCGGTTCCTGGGGTTGGTTTACGGATCTCTCCGATTTTACCCTACCTTATCCAGATTCTGACACAAGGCAAGAATCCAGGGATCGCGTGGAAGTACACACTTCCCAAGGTCATGAATGTAACTCAGCCGGCCCCCAAGAGGTTCCACCACACCTGGTACACAGAGCAGTCCGACTGCTCAGTCTCCTGTGGGGGAGGTAAGTGGGTTCCGAACTCTGCTTCCCAGCTCATCTCTGCTTACAGGTTTTATCTGGTCTATAGAAGGACACTGTGAACTTCGGGCAGCCCCAGTGCAGTTTAGTTCCGTGCATCCAGGAAACAAACTTCTGTGAGCTGAGGAGTGTGGCTGACTATCAATCATTAACGTGAGAGGGACATTTGAATCATGTCTCAGATGCTGTTTCAAGGAAAACCACACAGATGGAGAGTAAAGAACAACTGAAAACCAGGGTGGCATTCCCTGTCTGAGGACCTAAACATGAGAATTTAAGAAACATTTTGTGCCTCTGACGGGGAATGGTGGACCCTGGGAATCAAGCATACAGCTCTGCTGAAACAAATATTTACATAAACCAGGGTCCTAGCCAATAGGTGTGAGTGACTATTCAGAGTTGAACTTTTCTCTGTGCATGTATCACACGGTTAGAGAAGCATAAGATGCTTTGCGGTGAAGTAGAACTTCGGAGTTTTCACATAGAATCCCCTAGTGGCTTAATTATCTTTATGTGCAATTGTTTTGCCTATAAGTTTGTCTGTGTGCCTCGTGTGTGCAGTGCCTACAGAAGGCAGAAAAGGGCATAAGAACTCCTTGGAACTGGCATTGCAGATGTCTGGGAGCTACTGTATGGATGCTGAAATCAAACCCTGACCCTCTAGACTAGAGGCAAGAACAACAAATGCTCTTGACCGCTGTGCAATCTCTGCAGCCCCTCACTAGTCTTTTAGAGATGCAAATGCTTTCCATTAGACCTGTGCAATTCATGAGAACGCTTCCTGGGATGCTTCCTCATATAGCAACTCTGTTTCAAATAGTATTTATCGCTTGATGGTTAGAGAATCCACTTGAAACTGAAAAACATATCAAAATTACTAAGGTACAAAGTCTATTATCTTGGGGATAAATGATTTGAATTCAAGTGGGTTGAAGCTGTGTCTGAAGGAATTATTTTCACAAAAATATTTGGATTCAGTGTCTTGAATAGGATACTAGAACACTGATCAATCCCAAACTAAGTTTTGGAAACCAAATCAAATGGTTATCTGTGTTTCTCACTGTGCAACCTTTGGCATCTTACTAGGTTACATAAGCATCAAGGCCATTTGCTTACGAGATCAAAACACTCCAGTCAATTCCTCATTCTGCAGTGTCAGAACGAAGCCGGCAACAGAACCCAAGATATGCAATGCTTTCTCCTGCCCAGCCTAGTAAGTCCGCAAATGTCTCCTTGTTTGTATGTGTTCACTACATCTTTGTCACAATTAGGCAACAATGAAAAGGCTCCATTCATACTTCTAATGGGAAGGGTTTAAAAAACAAATACAATGTTTACTATAAAAATAGGGGAGAAAACAGTCGCAATTGAATCATAGGACCTAAAAATATGAGTTTGCCTTAGACACTCCCATCTTGCTGTGCAAGCCTGAGATATAGCAGTGTCTTTCTCCTCCCTAACAACAGTAAGACTTGAATCTAGGGCCTCATGCTTGCCAAGCGAGTGCTCTGCCACTGAGCAAGAGCCACAACCAAACCCCACCCCACCCCACCCCCATTTAACTTTTGAAAAAACCGCCCTCTTTCCAGAATGGAATCAAGCAGATATTTAAATGATACACAATCCTATATTTGTTAAATTTCAACGTGGCTGTCTGCTTAACTTGTACATAGGTCATCCAGGAAGGTAAGGATGATACTAAGGCAGACCGTGAAACCTCCGATGCAAATTGCACAGTAGTAAGACAGAAACCAGAGAGGTGAAAGCCAAGTGGTGACACTCCCACTGGTGACTGTCCCTCTGGGGCACTCAGTGGGTTTGCTCTCAGACTCATTTTAGCCATGCCGCTGTTGGAAGATGAGTCGAAGCCAGCTCCCTGGCCAACTGGAGTCTTCCCTTAGGTGACTTATCTTAAGCCAAATGTATTTATATAAAGCAGTGGTGGCGGTCAGATCATTTTAATAACTGGTACTGACTTTGTGGTAACACAGTCGAGGATGTGCATATGTGTGCATGTGTGTATAAATAAACTAAAAATATTTGTGTGTATAAACCATTTTCTGTTTTCTCATAATTGTCTGGGGTTTTAGATACCCACCAATTCTGTATGTCTAGTTTCCCTCTGAGATTCTGAAGCTAACTGAATCATGACTACAAAGAGAAAGAAAGAAATAGGACATGAGGGGGAACTTCTGTGGATTTTCCTATTTTTCCAAAAAATAAACAGTTATAAGAATTACCTCAGTGGCCCTAGGATGCAATTAACAGAAAGAGTTCTTGAATCTTGTGGGCTCATCCGTTCTTTAGGTAGTAGGCATAATATGTTTACTAATGTGAACACAGAGAATCACGCCTGCTGGCCAAGGTGACAGTTTCTGATCCCAGGACTTCCTCCTATCCCTGGTTAGACCATTCAGCATGCTGAGGTCACCCACAACGTCTAGACTCTCCTGAAGACTGTGGACAGGACTGATTGATGTTCTGTGAAGAACAGCCCCTTACAGGGGCTGCAGAGTGGAGCTGGTGTCCTGGGCAGGCTCTTCTGCTTTCCCCCTTTGCCTTCGACCCTTTCTCAGTGTCCCTAAATTCAGTTCAGAGAATGGACACTCTCAAGGACAGTTCTTCTCCCAGGATAAACTAGAAAGCGGGATCTTGACTCTGAGAACCCTTAAGACAAAGGGATTACCAGATGTAACTCTGCTACTTCCACATGCATCGACCTTGTCAGGAGGACTCACTGTGTGTCAGGCTCTGAGCAGAAACTTGTAATGTGGAGGTGGCAGCGCCTGGTCCCATCATTCCCTTCAGGGGGAAGGGAGATGACGGGTATGCACAAAAGGACTGAGATGCAAAGCCGTGCTCTATAAAATGTTAAGTGTCAATAAAGGACAAGATGGAAGACCTGGAAGAGATGCAGATGAGAGTAATGCCGGGGAAAAGGCAGCCTGGGAATCAGACATGGAAGGCCAGAGTGCCACCCCAAATGCCCATGAGATGCTCTCTCTACTAGACGTACAAACTCATCGCCTTTGTCACATAAGGAAAGAAACTTGAATTTGATAGAAAAACACAATTTGAGGGGGTGGGAGGTAAATGCTGAAACTAGTAATTTCAAAGTATATTTCCTAAGATCTTATAAAGTACAAAAGTTATATAAATCTGAGGAATTATTTGATACATTGTCTCTGACTAAAAAAAATAGGATGCTCTGGATTTTGTGATATTTTAAGCACACATATAGTTCTAGCACTCCTGTGATAATTCTCTAGGCTAGAGGGCTTTAATTTTGCATGTAGAGTTTATGGCAGAAGCCAGAGAAGGGGGGGAGGATAAGATTAAGGCGGGCGATGAAATTCTTGATGTTTAACCGAAGCACAGTTAGCTATTGATTTGGTCTTATTATTTTTTAATTATTTTCTTAATTATTTTCTAAAATAATTAGTGCTTAACATATTTGTATCCAAGGTCGGTTGTAGCCATCACTGCTGCGAGTCAAATGTCCAGCAGCTGTATCTTCCGGTTCTTTATTTTAATGTTATACCTGTACCTGTACATCCTACAATTTTAGTCAGAAGTAATTCTTGAAAGGGACTCAGAGTTTCCATGGATAGGCATCCCTGCATCATGACTTAGATAGTTCTGGAAAAACCGTGTCTGGTGACCTTCAAATAGACGGCATAAGGTTAGATCTCTGACCCATCAGTAAATGGTAAGACCAACTAGAGGAGGGGCGTGGGAAACTGCCACTCAGAAGCAGCTTCTGCAGGTCTCCTCTGAGCGTTGTCCCCCTTCTACATAGACACCTGCCCTCCGGTGCTGTTCCCTCTTTCCCGAGCCTGTGTATACGTTACAGTACTTACCAGGAAGTGCAGGTATCCATGGCTTCACAGTGTCAAACGTTTATGGACGAATGCGGTTTCATTCATCTTTCCAACCCCAGTGCCTGGGTCCCTGACACATAGTTAAAAACTCAGTAAATTTGCTTGGCTAGATTTTACTCAGGAAGGAAAACATGTTTCTTTCCATGTCGGAGACTAGAACGTACTTTTGCCAGAACCTTGTGGAGATGAAATATGTCTCTTTCCAGCTGCCCCGACTAATCGATGTGTAACTCAACCTCCATCAAAGAACAACTAGTGGGGCTTGCCCTGATGGGTTATTAGACAAACCAGGGGCTTTTCCTGGGCAGTTTGTCTTGAGGAGCAGCACTACAGAGCTTTGACTTCACAGGGAATAATTTTGGGTCTCCCTGAAAGTTGGTTGCCAGGTGAATGGAGTGTATGCAGCAAGTCCTGTGCCGGGGGCCAGCAGAGCCGGAAGATACAGTGCGTGCAGAAGAAGCCCTTCCAGAAGGAGGAAGCCGTGCTGCATTCTCTCTGCCCAGTGAGCACGCCCACTCAGGTTCAAGTGTGCAACAGCCACGCCTGCCCTCCAGAGTGGAGTCCCGGGCCCTGGTCTCAGGTACCAAAGCACCACTTTAGAAGCATGGTCTGCATGAAAAGCCAAGGTGGTGGGAATATCCGTGGTAACTGCTCAGCTCTGTGCACCTTCAGAGTGAATTAATGAGTCAGTGCCTGGGTGTTGTCATTTCAGCTAGTACCTTTGGAATGGTTCTTATGTGACCTGAAGTTTTGAACCTCTTATACCAGAGCTTGGACTATTCTCTTAGTGGCCCAGAAATTAGCATGGAGACTATTTGGGGGAGTCTATAAATGCAACTAGAAAGGGATTGGGACGTAGTGCTGGCTACGAAGAGATTGATCCATGGGTAAAGGAAGGCACTTGCTACCAGACCCAACCACTTGAGAACGAGCCCCAGGACCCACCCTAGCAAGTTATCTGCTAACCTCTACACACAGAGAATAAAGAAATAAATGGGATAAAATGAACAGGATAAAGGAAGCAGCTTTAACTTTTTCCTCAGTGGCAAAGCTGTAGAGCTGAAAGAATACAAAAGAACCAGGCACTGAGTTTGCAGTCCTCGCAAGGCATAACATCATGGGGTCAGAAGAGGCGTGGAGCAGGAACTCCCTGCTGTGCACAGCTCGTAAATGTCCTATCAATCAGATGCTCCCTTATGGGAGTATGTTCATCTCAGAGACATCGTGGAAGTGAATGAGCCCTATTGGCATCTAGAGCACAGAAGCTAATGTCCTCCAAGGGCACAAACAGCTCCCCAAAACACAGAATAAACACCAGGGTTTTCCTGCCTTCAGAGCCCTATGTTAGCCTGTGTGGGTGAATAGTATAAAGTATATCACCTGTACCATGATGGCAGCTGCTAGTGACCAATGCCCCATGTCTGTCATGCGTTCCCTTAGACTCTAGGTTTAACAACACACCACCAAATTTCCAGAAGAAACGAGGGGATGATTTTTACTAAAATCGGGACTGTATTTGTTAGGAAATAAGGGTCCAGGAGTAGGTAGGGATACATTGAACGAGGTAATAAATACTTGTATTTATAATATATATACAAGTATTTATACAAGTATATAAATATTCAAGTATTTATATAATATATACAAGTATATATATATATATATATATATATATATATATATATATTAGCAGGGGTTAGTCTAAGTAGGATGTGATGTTGAGTCAATCTTTCTTTGCAATGGATAATTCAAAGGCCGGATGGAGCCACATGTATATGATGGGCATGAATCAAAGGAAGTGGGTAATACAGAGTGTCCAGACATCTTAAAATACTCCAACTTCCACATGAAAATATTCTGAATATTTTTCTCCTTTTAAACAGCTTAATTGTAGAGACCAGATCTTTCTTGAGTAGTTTTCGTGATGAACATGGAAGAAAAATTTGTTCCCACACACTACTCAGCTCTTCGATATGGGTCACAGGTCACAGCAACAAATCAATTCATTCTTCAATCAATGCACACAGTGCATTCTTGTGAAAAAGAACTGCAAACAAAATTAAGATTTTTATTAACCGTTCAGGAATAACATGTGAAGGAGTGATGATCGGTTCCATGGTTCATTCCCCAGGTTCCATGGTTCATTCCCAAGGTTCCCTGGTTCATTCCCAAGGTTCCGTGGTTCGCTCCCAAGGTTCTTTGGTTGGCTCCCAAGGTTCCATGGTTCACTCCCAAGGTTCTTTGGTTGGCTCCCAAGGTTCCATGGTTCACTCCCAAGGTTCTTTGGTTGGCTCCCAAGGTTCCATGGTTCCTCCCCAAGGTTCCATGGTGCGTTTTCAAGGTTAGATATCAGACTCAACTTAACCAGCTTGTGTTTGTTTCTTAGCAACTAACGACCTTGATCTTAGTTCTAAGATGTTTCTTTTGAATAGGGTGATAGCAATGAACTCAGAAGGTTGATAGGCAGTTGTGTGCTACAAGCTCCAATTTACAACCTAAAGTGCATCACTTTGAATATATTAAAAAGCTCCTGCTGTCCACAGTGTGCTAATTATGGCATTATCTCCTTTAAGACTGTGGACACTGATAAGTGAGAAGTTACTGTGGTCCTCTAAACCCTAGCAGGACTATGCCCCAGCCTATTATGTAAATCCTAACGGCCACATCCTTTGATCCGTCTGAGAGGAAAAGAAGACCACAAAAATTGACATGGAGATACAGCCCTCCAAGACCATCTCTATGTGGAGCCAGCCTTCTAAGAAATTTTGAAAAGTTTTTTAACTGTTCCTGGGATGATTCTTTGACATCTTCTCTAGTTCATAGAATTCTCAGGAAAGTCAAAAAAGAAAGGTCTTAGAAAAAAAAAAAAGAAACTTGCCCAGGGTAAAGATTTGGATTGTGAGAATTTATCCAGAAATGTTTGATAGGCGCTTGTGTTAGCACCATACCCAAAGAAAGTTATTAGGAGTTAAGGATCTCACTCTTTTTGATACTGTTGCCCATATCTATATTAAGTGTATACGTTTTTTTTCTGCTTTTCTCCCTATGGTGGCACAGTAATCCACCTTAGACAGAGGCTTACTGTGGAGGAAGTCAAGTTCTGATACAATGTATCCTGTGTCTGGAAAACCCTTTGTTTCATGATAAGCATGGTTCATCTTCAGGCGGGGGATGAAACAGCCACTGGGTATTCAGATATTTAAAGCGGAAGCTAAACTATCCCATTTTAGCTTCTAAGGAGTGGGGAGTTTGAGCCAAGGAATGAAAACAATTGAGACAGAAGCGCTTTTGAATGAATAACTAACTGTCTGTCTTTGGTTTTACCTGTCTCTTTCTTAGTTAGATCTGCCCTAACACTGTGTTATACTATAGGAATAAAGAGAGAAATCTGAAAGGGAACACAATGTTTTAAATATTATGTAATGTATAGGGTATTGATGAAGTGTCAGTGCGTCAGTGTAACTATGTTCGCTGTTTACTCAAACAAATTCCATCTGAAATGGAAGCAAATGGCATCTTTTCTTCTTCTCAAGTGTTCCAAGACCTGTGGGCGAGGAGTGAGGAGACGTGAGGTCCTTTGTAAGAACTCTGCGGCGGAGACTGTCTCAGAGAGCCTGTGTTCTGGTAGCCCCCGACCTGAGTCACAGGAAGGCTGCGTGCTGGGACGATGCCCCAAAAACAACCGACTCCAGTGGGTCGCCACTTCCTGGAGTGAGGTATGAGGTGGGCACCCTGGGGCGGAGGTTCTTCATAAATGCTCCTTCACTCACCCGCACCCACATGGCTCCTTTCTGTACAGACGTGTGCTAGGTGACGTCTCAGTGCTGTTTCTCGGCATTGTCCCCGTTGTTAGAAACAGAGAAACGGTGTTCCCCTTGCTTTCTCTTTTGATTCAGTCCAACCCATGTGCTAGCAGCACCCACGTTTATAATGGGTCTTCCCTTTTCACTTAAACCTCTCTGGAAATTGTGGGGATGTGGATCCTAGATTATTTAAACCCAATAAGCTTGACAGTGAGTTTCCACTAATCATAACAAGCTTGATGGCCACACATCTGTTCCTCCAATCACTTCTGTTCTAGGTGATAAGGCCTGACCTGTGTCATGAATGAAATTCAACAATATGCTCCCGTCTCCTCTCAAACATTTTATAAAGGCATTATCACAAAAATAACCTCTTTGCAATCAGCCATTAATATGCACTGTGAGGGTAACGTTGGGCTTAGCTCCATTTATTCATCTTTACAATGGAGCTAACATACCACCATCATAGATTATAATATTTATATGGACGCATTGACTTGGACCCCATACATTACATTGTAGTTTAAAAGAGTCTATTCTCTTTCAGACTTTTCTCTTTTTCCCTATAGTGTAACACAGTGTCAGAATAAATCTAACCAAGAAAGAGACAGGTAAAATCAAAGACAAGCAGTTAGTTATTCATTCAAAAGTGGTTATGTCTCAATCATTTTCATTCCTTGGCTAAAAGCCCCCACTCCTCAGAGAGGTCTCAAATAGTCCTGGTCACTCCCATATTGCCCCAATGCTGGTCCTTCAACAAGATGGATGGAAGATGTTGAGAAATCAAGAGTATCTTGAACTATTACAATATAATCATGGGGCGTTGACAAAGTGAGTAAAACCCTGTGTCTCACACATCCACATGGCTCCTCGTCCCTGATGAACAGGGATTTCTCTTTGAAATTCAGAGAAGGTCACTTCAAATCTCCTGCCTTTGTTTTCTTCATCTGTAACAAGAGGGACCTCACTGCTGCACTGGTTGATATCGTGTGTACACACAGCCCCACAGATTTGACTGTGGAACTCTTATGCCTCCTTTCTGGGCTCCTAGTGTTCTGCTACCTGTGGTTTGGGTGTGAGGAAGAGAGAACTGACGTGCAGCGAGAAGACCTTGCAGGGGAAGCTGATACCATTCCCAGAGCGGAGGTGCCGCAACTTGAAGAAGCCAAACCTGGAACTGGAAGAAACCTGCAACAGAAGGGCTTGCCCAGTGTACGGCATGGTGGCAGGGTGGTATTCATCACCATGGCAACAGGTGGGTGCATGCAGGCTTAGGAAGCAGATGTTCCAGTGAGACGCGCCACCCTAGCATTGCTCTCAGTCCATCAGTAGTTGCCCCACTCTATAGAACTGGGATAGTTGGCATCGGTCGACCCATCCCACTGTCTAGATGAGCCTGGGCAGGTACTACATACAGTCTGGTATATAGTGTTTAGACCTAGAAAACTGGAATAAGGAAAGTTTTGAACAGAAAGCCTGTGACACCGTGCCCGTGTTGGTTGTTGCCACTCTTGAAACCGTCACTTTGTGGTCCCCGGTTGTCAGAGCATGTTTCTGAAAGACATTGAAAAGCTGAATTTCGCCAACCTCTGCCCATGCTTTCTATTAAAGTGCTCTTTATGCATTTTCTCATTTCGTTCTCTCATTAACACTTGTGGCAGCCATTATTGTCCCAGTTTCATGGATGAGGAAAGTAAGGCTTAAACTGTTCACTCATCAGGTGACAGAGACACCTTGTTCTTGGGAACTCTGGTTGGTTCCAAGAGAACCTAAGGCTATGCAGAGGTCCCGGGACCCTGCTACTGCTGAACTCACTGGTGTTGCAACAGATGCTCAACTCACCCTTAAACACAGGCTCTGGCAGTATCTGTGTATAATATAGAAAGGTATTTTGAAAATGGGAAGGCCTGAAAACAGATCCCCAATGAATGGAAAAGGAATATTTCTATTTGACTAGGCAAGGTAACACACACACACGCACGCATGCGCACACACACTCATGCATGCACGCATGCACACACACACACACACACACTGTTATAGGCTTCTTAGTTTTGTGATTTTGTTTAATATTTTGAAGTTCTTTTTATGGTTTATGAAACCCACTATTGATCATTTCTGTATAATGAATATAAAGACATTTTCACATGGAGGAGTCATGTACTTTTATCGGAATGAGTGGATATGATTGGACGTCAGCCAACAATGGCAAGGAAGCCAGATGTTTTCCTCCTCAGACATCTGCTTTTGTGCAATAAAGGCTGACTTGTAGACCTCACTGCTTACTGTGTATTAGGAAATGGCACCCCCAGAGTCAGACAAGTGGATGGAAATTATACATCTATATTTGAATGTTTGGGATATTTCTAAATGCATCTTCTTTCTGCCAAAACTTACTGTCTCCTCCTGAATGCCAGGCCATACAGTGATATGGTGTTCTTATCTGTCTGTGGGCCATTCTAAAGTAAAACAGCACAGATCTAGTTAAAGGGTCTCCTTTTCCTTTGGCATTTCCATTCTTTTATTAAAATTCCACCAATCTTCCATGTAGTCATTGGGGACACAAAGAAACTTTGAACCTAAATTCTACTCAATCAGGCAGTAAAATCCCTTGGCTCTTAGGTACCATGTTACATCAGAAGCTAGCTAGGCGCCATCCCAAAGTATCTCTGGTTAGTTATCCTTTAGGGCCCCTGTTTCAAATGACCCACATCCATTCTGGGATCTGGTTGAGATTGCCTGGGCTTCTTGTCCTCCATCCCTGGCCATGTCTGGATTTGTTTCTGAGTTTTTTGAGACTACTTCCGGAGCCTACCTCCTTATGATCCCCTTTGTTGGAGACACACTCTTGGGTGCAATAGTATTTGCCCAGGACTTTTCTGATAGATCCCATAGCTCACACAGGACTGAGTAGACTTGGACTGAATGCCTAGGACCGGCTGCAGACTGCATCATCTGTGGGCCTCTTGGTCATGAATTTCATGCTTCCTTCCATTGGATACCACTGACTTCGGAGAGGACACTGCCCAGCTGAGCAGGTATAACTCCCTTCTGTCTCCCTCCTTGGCAGTGCACAGTAACCTGTGGGGGAGGAGTCCAGACCCGGTCTGTCCACTGTGTGCAGCAAGGCCGGCCTTCCTCCAGTTGCTTGCTCCATCAGAAGCCTCCAGTGCTCAGAGCCTGTAATACAAACTTCTGCCCAGCTCCTGAAAAGAGAGGTAAAGGATCCTACGCCCCATCGTTCCCACCAGTTTTGAGAAAGATCTTCCGCAGCTCTTTATAGTTGGTTGGCAATTTATGTGTTACTCGACTCCTATGGTGCCGTGCTTCCATCAGCACCCATGGGGCTGCATCCTCACACTTGTGCGAGGCCAAATCTGAGACATTTTCTGTCAATACCATACTGTTTGCGTGATCTGAAGGTAACATTTCATTCAGTAAGGTTTTCCAGCCGCTCGTCCCCGGGAAAGAGTCATGTCCCCATTCTTTCCTTTTAAGATGGAGTCTTTGGAGGCTGGAGGTGGGGCTCAGTTGGTAAAGTGTTGCCTAGCACGCATGAATCCCTAGGTTCTATTCCCAGTATGCTAGGAAACTATGCACAGTGCTATACACCTGTAATCTAAATCATTTCAAGTAATGTAGCAAACCCTGGGAAGTATCCCTTGGTCAGATCAGATTTCCTTATGCCAAAGAGTCTTTCTTCAGCTCACAGCTGCTGGGGGTTCTTTTGTGTTTAATCCCATCACAGATTTTCCGAGCTTGCCTAATCTTTCAGGGCCCTTTTCCTAATTGTGGTGGAGAGTATTTGGTAAGGCAAGTCACCACTTTTGTCTCCCCTGCCTTTCCGCCTGCATCACTTGGCATCTCTGTATGCGCAGGGCATCAGTGTGCTCTCCTGTGTGCCTGTATTGGAGGGGCTGCTGAGACAGGGCCATCTCTAATCAGCACTGGGATTCTACACAGAGGAGAATTCGCCTTGCAGAGAGACGGGGTGTGTTCTGCCAGAACACCTTTCCCTCCTGTCAGTCTCTGGAGCCAGATCACTCTAGAAGGAAATGCAACCCCTTAGCATTCTGGTCAGTCCTGGGAACATCTCTCAGCCAGGCACAGGAGAAAAAAGGCCCTGTTACTCTCTGTTTTCCCAACATCTGATGCTCACCTGGCTCACAATTGTTGCTGAGAATGGAGTAAAACGAAAGCTGGTGTCCAGTGTGGCGAAGCCCTCTGTTTTATTCCTATTGAGGTCATTAGGAACTCACCAGGAATCCCCAGGACTCTCATTTTGGAATAACAGAACATAGCAAAGCAGGGTCCTGTCCAAAAACGATAAGGGTCTCAGAACCTGTGGTCCCAAGAAACTTCCCACCTTGAGAAAGAGGTGTGGAAACCAGGCCTTGACAGACTGGTCAAAGCCAGACCCCAGAATGGAGGCAACTTTTGAAAAGGGCCTCCATGAAGTAAAGAAGGTGGATCTTGTATGTACTCAGCAGAAGAACAGCAAGGTACTTAGATTGGGGGCACAGCTGACTACATAGGCATAAACCAAAAGTGATTCAAGACCCTTATTAGTCATCACAGAGACATTGGATGTAACTGGGTAAGATGGAGAACATTGGCATCTGTGAGGTCAAGACAGTGGGTGGCCTGGGGTAGAGTGAGAACAGGATCTCCTCATGGAGAGTTGGCTGCTGCTTCCGAGGAGAGATGGAGGAGTTTCTTTTATGGGGAGGTGGAAGTTGGGTGGATTTTGAAGACTGGACCAGTGGTGCTTGCTGCTTTTCTGCATGCAGGGAGTGGGGCAAAGAGAAAGGTGCCCAAAGTCAGCCTCCACAGTGTAAGCCAGATGCCTGGGTCGTATCTCAGAGAATCAGCCATCCATAACTGTTCTTATCTCCAAACCTCCACACAGCAAAGAGGGCTCTGCACACTCACGGCATGCTGACCTGCCTCAGCTCTACCTCCTGATTTATACGAAGCCCAAGGGCCCTGATGTAGGCTTTTGGTAAAATTCCATTCTATTTGTAGAAGAGATGGCTCAGTGGTTAAAAGCACCGACTGCTCTTCCACAAGATCAGGTTCAATTCCCAATACCCACACGGCAGCACATAACCATCTGTAACTGTAGTTCGGGAGAATCTGATGCCCTCTCCTGTGGGCATGCGATTGGTGCATAGATAAACGTGGAGATAAAGCACCCACATATATAATTATACATTTTAAAGAGAGGTGGGAGTTGGTACAGTAGCAAGATTAGTCAGAGAATGGTAGTGCATGCCTGTGATCATAACACTTGGGAGGCAGAGGCAGAAGCATAGCAACAAGTTCAAATCTACCCTGGGTATATAGCAGAACCATCTATCAAAGGACCACAGAAATAAATGACTGTGAGGTTAGGACCATAGTTCGAGTGGTCTATATTACCTTGCAAAACATTCTAGATTATTCTGTTGGTACAGTGGACTAAGGTACGTGCCAACTGATCTGCGGCATCAGATACTAGATGGGTATACAATAATTGAACTCATATTCATGCATAGGTGTATTGCATACATAGAGATTAGGCAAGCCGAATATAATGGGATCTTGATCTTAATGTCTGACTTGAATCTCAAACCAGCTTCCTGGTTCCAGACCTCTGACCCATAGGAGTGCCCATTTCAGGAAATTAAACTCCACCCTTCTGTATACTTGATTTAAAATTACTGTTATTTCTCTCACATCATTTACCAAGTCTATGCTGGTACAGGTGATCTGCCTGGACATCAGTGTGTGTGTGTGTGTGTGTGTGTGTGTCCAGAAGTCATTGGAAGAAAAAAAATCCCATCTCATTTTTTAAAGCCTAAATTCTTATGCTACATGACTTAATTTTATTATTTTAGCTACTTTGGTTATTTTTTTCCAAACACATTTTATTTAGTTAGCACTTGTATTTCTGTGGAGCTGGTAGACAGGACTTAACAAGTGCAAATCTAAATTTCTGCGACCAGGAGCTCGTTGTTCAGTGTGAGTCTTGATGTGTGAAGAGAGACGCATGCTGCTCAAACCAGTGTAGAGCGATGATAGTGTTCTAAGAATAAAGAGTCGATAAGTCTTTTAACATAATAATTTAGCAACTACTTTGTGGTTGGCACCATTTCAAGTATTGGGAAGACACCGATGAAGAGTGGAGACCAAGAGCCTGCTCTCAAAGGCTTTGCATTGTAGAGGGCAGAGAAGAGGCAACCACATGGCATGATGCGGGTGGATAAAGCGAGGAAGAAAGTGCAGACACTCCCTGGGAGGCCAAGCAGTAGGCTAGTTTGTTGAGTGGCAGAGGCAAGAGGAAACTAACCTGGGATTTTAGGGACCATCTACTGGTAGTGAACTGGGAAGCGGAGCTCACTGGTGCTTCAGGGATCAGCAAGGCTGGCATGGCTGGGTTTGGGAAGAGAAAGATGAGATCAGGGAGTCAGGCTTCAGATCCTAACCCTCAGCCTCTACAGCGATCACTGTATCTTGTACTGTAGAGGGATGGGAAGGAAGGCTCTGGGTAAGAGGCATGACAGGAACTGGTTTGTGTCTGAAAGTGATTTCTGGGAATGACTGTGAGCCTTGGAAGGGTATGAAAGGGGGAATTCTGGGCACAAGAAGCCAGGACTAGCCAGGACTAAGGAAACTCTAGGCAGGTGTGAATCACCGAGAAAATCCAAGCTGGGGCCGATACAACAAGAGTCAGGAGAGCTGTGGATCTTTATTGTGCAAGAGGAGAGTAACTAAAAGAAAAATGCTCTTTGGAAGGGTACCACCCTGGGACCCTTGTGTCCATGCTAATACCAGGCTATATGCAGACAATCATGAGCTACTTGATACGGCTTCTTTTCTAACACTGATCCATCATTTAAATTTTGCTGACAGATCATTTGGCTTATTAATCCTGCAGTGGATTAGGGCAGTGGGCCTAAGTCTCTGTTCCATAGGACCTCATCTTAATAAAGAAGGTCAAAGTTCTAACTGCTACGCTAAATGCTTTCTATCTTTTCAGATGATCCATCTTGTGTTGATTTCTTCAACTGGTGTCACCTGGTCCCTCAGCATGGGGTCTGCAACCACAAATTTTATGGGAAACAGTGCTGTAGGTCATGCACAAGGAAGAGCTGATCCAGAGCCCGCTCACCCTCCTCAGAACAGGACCATACCTGCCAATCTCCAGGTCTCTTTTTTTATCACGACTACAAACCACAGAGGAACTGCCACAGGGTTTGAAGAATGGATAGAGAGCCAGCAGCCTCCTGAGTCGACCTCTAGAAGCACATGGTACTCTAAAGGACTTGACAATGAGAAGTGTTGACAAATCCAACTTTTTTTTTTAAAAAAAAAAAGCCTTTGATTTGCACTGCCATTGGAAGATGAGACACATCATACTGAGATATGTCAAGTTTTCATTCTGACCAAGTGAAAACCTTGTTGACTTTAGGATGTGTCTCCTCCCCACACACATACCTTTGAACATCAAAGGAGTCAAGGGCAAAGACGTCTATTTTAAAAAGGCCCTCGAAGGCTCCAGGTCAAAGACTGACATTCAGAACCATCAAATACATGGATGGAACTCTTTGCCTAACAGTTGTTTGGAATTTCTAGTGTCAAAATCTGACACCAAATGGTGCTCAATGAATGGGTGCTTGCTGCTGGACTGGCAAGCTTCACCTTGTTTCTTTTCTGTGTGTTGTTTCTTTGGTTTCTGCCTGTAGAGAGGCTCCAAGACTGAAATGAACAACTTGAACTATATTCCCAGTAGCATTCTGGAAGCGGGGCCACATGAGCTATTTAAAATCTCCAAGTGATTAAAATTCACAATCGATGGGAATAGAGACTCAATATTGATGCCTTTCACGAAACATCAATCTTACAACTTTTAGTGCTTGTTGACGAGAACAAGGGAGGCTGGTGCCTGCTTTTTGGGAGCAAGAACTGGTGACATGTTCATTTCTGGTAAAAATAGGCACTCACTGGTAAAATAACATGCTTGAAGGAGGGAAGCCTACCATTTATAATTCCCCACACATATTATCAGAATGCTTAGAAAATTAAAGACTGCTTGTGGTTTTTCTCCTAACAACTGACAAGTTTCAATTCGCCCCAGGACTTGGTCAACAAGGAAAAAAAATAGTGACAAAGAAAAATCCATCTGTCTTCTTGCTACATTAATAAATTACCACTCACCAAGACCCTTCCGTGAATGCCAGGACTTCACCATGTCTCTGATGAGACATTTTTGGTCATCCGGAGCCAGCTGTTGACGGTCATTAACAAGTTTAAAATTGTTCTCAATTGGAAAAACACCATTCTGTTTGCCAAAACCAGAGTAACTTGTAAGACTGTGTTCCCCTGCAATTCTTTGAGAAGTGGTTCTACAGGGCATGTTTATACGATACTACTCTATTCCCCCCAATTTCTTTGATGAATGTACACTCATTTTTATTGCTTCTCAGAGTCTCAGTTCAAACAGGGGTTTGCCAGCTCAGCAGAACCAGCTAGACAGTGTCCTGTTAAATTTAACAGCATTCTTTGTCCCCATGCTAATGGGAAGCATGAGTTCTTGGATGTTGTGGAAGTGAAAAGTAACAGCTTGGCCCTCTTGGCGTGGCCCTATGGTAGTCATTTTGATATGAGGAGAGAAAAAAATAATACCACAATACCATCCCTGTGCTCTCTGAAAAGTGGAAAGTTATTTGTCTTTATATAATTATCATTTTATTATTTTATGGGAAAGAATTAATTTATTAATAGCCTGTTCTTATGTGTCTCGCTCGCTTCTCTGAGTAAATGATATTCTGAGGGAAAATGTTGAATTAAAAAAAACATGGATTATAGAGAAAAGTCAAAATATATGTGTAATATTTAATTATTTTATGTTTTATAATAAAGTATTCTGTTTCTTTATCTTTGAAACTTGTTAAATTCTTAAACAAGTTGGTGAGAAGTCAGGTATTTCCAAGTTAATTTAATTGCCTAACCATTGATGGAGAATCTCAGCATAACTTACTAAGGGGGCCAGGGGCGGGCTTTAAGAAGGATTTGTTACCTTTGTGCATCAGGAAATAATCTGTCCAGTGCTGATGCACTTGGGGCCAATCAGATGGCTCTGCAGGTAAAGGTACTTGATGCCAATGCTGATGACCTGACTTCAGTCCCTGGAATCCACACTGTGAAGGAGAGAACTGATTCCTGAAGGTTGTCTTCTGACCTCCACATGGGAGTCGTGTGTGTGTGTGTGTGTGTGTGTGTGTGTGTGTGTGTGCAGCCCTGCAAACAAATGTGAAACAAATGCGTATTTCAAATGTGTTCTGCTGTATTGTGTAGATAAAGAAATGCACATGGAAATCACTGGAGATAAAGTCATTGCAGCTATTTCCTCTTTGAAAGGCATTCTGGGAAAATATTTATGCCAAAATGAAGGAGAAGGGAGAAGAGGGGTAGCATTTACTCTTTACTAATTATTTACTAAAAGGACAGGGAGAAGAAAAAAAACCTTAATCAAACAGCATATATTTTCAGGCTTTCCAAATTTTAATCATCAAACTCATAAAGACTTTCTGGATGAAACAAATCTAAATAACCTGACTATCCAGCATCTATCTGCATTGATGGTTGCACACCAGGCATAGCTCTAAAAGAGATCAAAGAGTATTATGGTGTAGATTATTAATGCATATGAAAATAAAAATTAGGGTTAACGGAAAGTGAATAAATAAGTAATAAAGTATGATTAGAAGAAATTCATTTGGGTTCAATAGCTCTCAGGTCCTATGCACAACACTTATATACGTTATCTCATTTAATGCATACAACCTCTCAATTAGGGAGATGCCATTGCCTGTGGGGGGAGGCATCTGGGATTCTGAGAGATCACATATTTGGCCCTGAGGCAAATGGACAGTTTGTGATGGGGTCAAGTCTTGAACCCAGGTCCCTTGGGACTCTTCTGTAACAATCCTGGGAGACATAGAGAAAGCAGGGAACACATAGGCCTTGGAATCATGGTCCCTGGGATGCACGTGACTGAGACTTTAGTGATAAATGACTTTAATGATGATGAATTATGGGCAGAGCTGGGGACAAGAAGCATAATCAGGGCGGAAGGTAATAAATTCCTGCTAAGCCCCCCTTTTCAGCAAAGGATTCTTGAAGACTTGTTGCACCGTTATTGCATAGTTAGACTCTATTCCCTAATAACAGCTTCTCTCCGGGATGATAGTGTTTCCTGAACAATAGCACCAGAGTGTCTGGAGCCTACAGCTCCTGGGATCGTCGGGATGGAGAGAAGGCGTGCGGGAATGCTCTTGGCTTTGGTTCCGTTCTAATCAGAAGCAGAGATGGTCTTATGGCAGTGAGTATCATGCTAAGAGTGGTTTATAGCATTCAGATCATAAAGCCCATTGCTGTAGACATCACAGGGAATGGTAATTTTCTTGTGGGTTTCATGGCCTTAGTTTCCTTATCTTGAAGAATATAGAAACATGGATGGGAGAAGTTGCTCAGTGGTTAAGGACTTGCAGAAGATGCAAGTTCAGTTTCTAACCCATGTTGGACAGCCCCCAACCACTCGAAACTCAAGCTCCCGGTGATTGACACTCTGACCTTTGCAGGTACCTGCACTTGAGTGCACACATACACACACACACACACACACACACACACATAATAAAAGACAACATGATATATGCCAGGTATGGTGGTGCATGCCTTTAACTATGGCACTTGAGAGGCAGAGGGAGGGAGATCCCTGTCAGTTTGAGGCCATCCTGGTTTACATAGTGAGTTCCATGCTAAATATATAGTGAGACTGTGACTAAATAATGATGATGATAGTGATGGTGGTGATGATGAGGAGGAGGGGGAGGAGGAGGAGGAAGAGGAGGTCCTTTAAAAGATACGAAGGGATCCTATGTTCTGTCTGCTTTACCTCATCTTCCCCCAAGATCTTAATGCTTCCGAAACCTTGGCGATCTGCATATTAGAAGTTTCTCATTGCTAAGAGCAAACGCCTGTCAATAAGCAGATACATGATGAAAGGATCTTTTCTACTCACAGCTGGAGGGGGTCACAATCCACCGTGGCCAAGGAGGCATGGCAGCAAGCTGCTCCGTGGTGGCAGAGGCTTCTGGTGGGTGTTTCTGGAATCTGCTGAGTTTAGCAGAGGTGACACAGAGAGCTGAACCAGGCTGTCCACCTCAGGGCTCTGACTAGTGACTCATTTCTTCCAGTGAGGCAGTTCCAGAGCCTCCCAGAACAGGGCCCCCAGCCGGAGAGCAGCTTTTCAAACATGAGCCTGTGGGGAGCCACAGCAACCCTGACGCTCCTTTTGACTCTGTCACCCTTGTCTGCGCTTGATGGAGACGTCCTCTTCTGCAGAGGCTCTGGACCAGTGACTTTCATGCCTGTTACCCATAAAGAATCATCCTGAGGACCTCATAAGGACATTGCATGTTGCTTTGCATTTCATCCGTTTATATAAAAATCTTTTTTTTCCAGAAGAAAGTTTTAAAAGGCCAATATTTTATACCTTCTTCAAATTGAAAATCTATATTGCATGACATAAACAGATATAGCTAGTCAACAGCAACAACAAAATAACCTTAGGGGCTAGGGCAATGGCTCCGTGGTTGAGAACACTTGATATTTTTCTAGAGAACCTGAGTTCAATTTCCAGGACCCACATCTATTGATTTACAATCTAACTCCAGCTTCAGGGGAATCTGATATCCTCTTCTGGCCTCTGTAGGCTCCTGAACACCTCTCTCTCTCTCTCTCTCTCTCTCTCTCTCTCTCTCTCTCTCTCTCTATCTCTCTCCCTCTTTCTCCTCTCTCCCTCACACATACACACACACAAATATATATATTTATAAATTTATATTAAAATATATAAATATATATATTTAACTGTACATTTAAATATATAAGTATTTATATATACTTATAAATACTTATATAAGTATTTATATAAGTACTTATATAAGTAATATAAGTATATATTTAAATATATAAGTATATATTTAAATACTGATGGGGCTAGGGGTGTGGTTCAATGGAAAAGCTTTTGCCTAGCATGTTTGAGTTCCATGCCTAGCCCAGAAACAAAGTTCCTTATTAACATGCAT